ATATGTATATATATATATATATATATATATATATATATATATATATATATATATATATATATATATATATATATATATATATATATATATATATATATATATATATATATATATATATATATATATATATATATATATATATATATATATATATATATATATATATATATAATTCCATGGCTTTAGGTGATAACTAATTGGACATGGTGGAGTGGTTGAGACCTCGGTCTCCTAACCACCATGTCCTAAGTTTGATTATATATATATATAATTCCATGGCTTTAGGTGATAACTAATTGGACATGGTGGAGTGGTTGAGATCTCGGTTTCCTAACCACCATGTCCTAAGTTTGATTCCAGGCTCGCCTTATCCTTCTTATTTTCACGTTTTTCCTTTACTTTTCATTTTCCATACATCATATATTAATGATTGCATATATTTGACAACAATAGGACCATAAGGGAATGGTTGAAGCTTCATGCCTCCTGCTCCAATGTCCTGGGTTTAATCCATTGCTGCCACTTTTCCTCTTCTTTTTTTCCATTTTTTTCATTTCTTTTTCACCTTTTTTTAAAAGTTTTCTTTCCCATTTTTTTAGCCATCCTAACGAGTATCTTTTTGATTTTTTTTATGTCTACTTCTTATTAGCGGCATCATATTTACAATTTAATTTTTTTTTAAAAAAAATTTCCACTTATTTTACCCCAATTACGACCATCGCAAAAGCACCCTTTAACTGTTTAAAAAATGCGATACTTGTTGGATTTTTACCTTCTTATTTTCACGTTTTTCCTTTATTTTTTATTTTCCATACATCATATATTAATGATTGCATATGTTTGACAGCAATAGGACCATAAGGGAATGGTTGAAGCTTCATGCCTCCCGCTCCAATGTCCTGGGTTTAATCCATTGCTGCCACTTTTCCTCTTCTTCTTTTTTTCCATTTTTTTTTCATTTCTTTTTCACTTTTTTTAAAGTTTTCTTTCCCTTTTTTTAGCCATCGTAACGAGTATCTTTTTGATTTTTTTGATGTCTACTTTTTATTAGCGATATTATCTTTACAATTTAATTTTTGTTTTTATTTTTTCCACTTATTTTACCTCGATTACGACCATTGCAAAAACACCCTTTAATTGTTTAAAAAATACGATACTTGTTGGATTTTTACCTGGTTTTTTTTAAATATTTTCATTGTTAGACATCATATTTTAATCCATGGATTCAACAATTCCCATGTCGTTATTTCACCGGCTACTTTATCGATATATTGATGGTATTTCGCTGCATTATGACCCCATGCATACAACATTTCATTTGTTCTCGATACGCACAAACCGGCTTTGAGCATATTATTATGTTATGAGATTTTGATTCACATCCTCGCATCGCGATTTTAATCCGTGCAGCCTTCGATTGTATTTCTTTCGAGTTAATTTTTATACGTGTTATAAATATAACTTGTGCGTTTCTATCTTCTTCTCATGACTTACTCTTGAGCCTTCATACAATGAGACCATTCTCTTGTACACTTACACTTATTTATTTAAGTTTGTTGATTTGGTTCGATTTAATTGTTTCATTATCTTGTATCCTCATTCGAGAAAATGTATCCTCATTCCCATGAATTATAATAACTATATCGCTTTCATCTTGATGGTGTTTTAATGCTTTGTTCAATTGTTAATAACTTCAAGCATCACATTAAACCCTTCTCAATAAGAACTAATTCTCAATTCAATGTCGAGTCATTTTATACCTTGTAATTCGATCGCTTCTTAAGCATTGCAATCAATCTATGACTTACTCTTGGGATTTCTTACAATGAACTTGTTTTGAACGCACCCACATAACTTACTCTTGGGCTTCCTTACAATGAGACTCATGCTTTTTTAATTAATTAATTGGATGCTTATTTGAGTGTTTAATCCATTTGTGTATGCTTATTTGTTTGGGCTTGTGTTTATTGCTTTAACTTTCTCCCATTCAACAAAGTTTATCCCCACTCTTTGGGCTTGTAATAATTGTATTGTTTCCTTAGGTTTTTGCTTTTTTTTGTTCACATTGCACATAAAATGAAATTGAACCTAAAGCTTACTTGATCCACATATCGAACCATCTCTTAAGCCTTGTAAGTCGATCGCCTTGTGCATTTCCATCAACCAAATCCAAAACATTCTTGATCCATACATCAAACCATACCCAACTTGTAAGTCGATCGCTTCATGTGTTGCCATCAACCTATCCCATTTCAATCTTAAACCATTTTCATAATCATCTCGCTATGATAACCAAATGCTTGATCCAACATCAATCCATTTTCCTAATCAAAATCAAAAACACCTAAACTTATTCAAACACCATCTCATTAAGGATGAAAAGGGGGATGATCTCGAGCCTTCGATTCCTCTCCTCGATTACTTGGATACAATTTGCCTTACTCGAAAATTCGAGTAATCGTCATCCATCAAAAGCTTCCACTCCGATTCACCTCAAAATTCGTAATCAACCTTATTAAACCTATTTTCCTAAAGATTTAGATGAAAAAGAAAGTGGTCTAGAGCCTTCCATTCCCTTTCTCAAATACTTGGATATGATTTGCCTTACTCGACTATTCGAGTATTCGTCATCCATTAAAATACCTTAACAATATCCAAATCCTTTCATAATTAAATATGAAAAGGGAGATGATCTAGAGCCTTTGATTCCTCTCCTCGATTACTTAGATACAAGTTGTCTTACTCGATCATTCGAGTATTCATCATCCAACAAAAAATTTAACACATCAAATCTCTTTTTATCTCCCCCGTGCAATCGAAACCCAATAAGACTTAATTACTCGCCCCCATGCAATCAAACACCTATTTTTTCAAAGAACATTGTTTAGTCTCTTCTAATGCGCATACAAACTAGCGTTTAAGCCCCCCCTCCCCGAGAGTAGACAAGCCAAAGTTTAGCCCTTAGAACGCAATCTGAACACTCTTTCATTAAAAAAACACAAACCAACAAATCGTAGTCCTCTAAAATATGGTGCTCTGATTTCCTCATTGCACTATGAGGATACGTAGACATAGGATTGCGAGATCTTGGTGAACAACCTTTTTTCTTTCAAACTTTTTTCTTTTCAACCTTTTTTCTTTTCAACCTTGTTCTTTTCAACCTTTTCTTTTCAACCTTTTTTCCTCGTAGTCCTTTGAACTATGGATGCTCTGATTCCTCATTTCACAGTGAGGATACGTCGGTACGAGGGTCCCAATCCTTGGCGAGAACACTAATAAAAAACCTTCCTTTTTCCCTTTGGCGGTTTCCTTTCTTTTCTCTTTTCAATCTTTTATCATTCGAAAAAAACAAATAAACATGAGCTAACATTCAAATTGCAAACCTAACTAAGAGGTTCTCGTTGAGTACAATAGACGTGAAGGGTGCTAATAGATTCCTCTTGCGTAATCGACTTCTGACCCCGAATATGGTTGTGACGACTATTATTCTATTTCTAAAGGTTTTATCGATATTTTTATATTCCTTCATTGAGATAAATAAAGTTTGGTGGTGACTTTGTTCGAACTAATATGATGACATTAGAGACCCATATATGACTCTATTTTGATGATTTTCTCCCCAACATCGCTGATAGGGAGGCTTTCTTGAAATGTATACATTTGCTTGGCCTTATTCATGACGACGAGAAAAACATCTAACTGACTACACACTCATCTGAATGCGGTGTACGCTTCTTGCGACTCTTGAACACCCTCTTTTGACCGTTTTCTTCCTTTGAATGTATGTTGATTCTATTAGTTAGGTGTGGTTGTAGCCACTCATACGATCAAGTTAGTTTATGCTGTAAATGTGAGGTTTATGGTTTTAGAATAATTTATACCTGAGTATGAATCATTCATTAGATTTTATAGTTAGGGTTTATGATTTAAAGACCCTAGAACCTTCTGTGGACAATTGTCTTAAAGGATCAATGTTAGACGATCTTGTGATTCTCTCTATCTATTAGATCATAAGGGATCATTCAACCTGAATCTTATGTGTCTTTAGGTGATATGCACTCTCAGGTCCCTCTTGTTCCTGATGTTTGAGTCGCTTGTTCTTATATGGACATGGATTAAGCTTTAACCAATTCAGAATATATCTATTTAGCACCTGAACTCAAATCATATCGAAAAATTGTCTACAAACAAGCTTTCGTAATCTCTTTAGTTGATTTTTAAAATCATTTCATTTAGTCGGTGAAATGATGGTAAATAGGGTTGCTCATTGTACAATTCAGTCAGAAAACTAAATCATACTCTTTCAATTTATCTAGAATAAAACCGAACCAAAATTATCAGTTTGGTATTCTAAGGCATATCAAATCGTTAGAAGAAAATTTTTCGTAGACATAATCATTTGTTAAATACCAAACCGTTATATTTTTTTGTATTTTTTTGGTTCGGTTTTAATTTCAGTTTGATTTATTTTGGTTCTAAAATTGTATTACATTACTGGTTCGATTTGATTATGCAGTTTTCTTGAATAGTTAGTCCTAACATGTTTGAAGGGTTTGAAAGTTGGAAACGAGCAAGTCCAACGAGCACGCAGGCAATTAACGAGGAAAGTCCAACATTTGATTCAAACAAGTTACATGTACATATTGACGGTTGTAGTAGGTTTGGGTTTAGCAGACGTCGAGAGCGTGACTCCTCCTCTGTCTTCTACGTACTTATTCGCAAGATTAATGTTGCTAATACGGCAAGCACCGTGACTCATGAAGCTTCTAATTATACTCAACCCACTCATCCAATCACAATTCTCCACCTCATCAACCCATCCTTTTCACTCACACTCACCGTGCTCTAACTACCCACCGAATTATGCACAAACATTCAATTTATTCTCTATACTTTAGATTCATATATACTATTTTATATTAGCATCAATTATTAAACTATATATACTTCACCTTCAAGATTCTATTACATACAAATAGAAATCGAGAGGGAAGAAAAAGATGAGATCAACCAGTTGCTGCATCCGTCTTTACCCTACACCAACTACAAACGCTTCTCTCATCCCCACAAACCCACCTCAAATTTCCTTGTAAGTTCTTTTTCTACTTCTAAAGCTTCTATACTTCATGCATGTCACAACTAAGTTAATTGATTATATTCTTTTGTAAATAAAGGGAGAAAAATAGAGGAAGCTGGAAAAGGCCATGCGTTGTGATAGGAGTAGCTTCGTGCTTCACTATAATAGGACTACAATTCAACAATTCAGTGATATCATCCCATGAAGTTGTTGTTGTGCCTAAGGAGGAGATCATGGTTGTGACCATGTCAAATTCAATGGATGATGATGATTATGACGAGCATGAGCACTTGGTTTTGGTTGGTGGTGTGGCTAAATGGAGTCAGAAAAGGATGTGTCCATCTTGGCAAGGAAATAATCCGCTTGAAACCATCGTGCCGGAGAATCTGCCACGGCCAGCAGCGCGACGGCGATACGAGGCGGTTCGCTCCGACTCCAAGACTGCGCCGCCGCTCTCGCTTTCTTCCGTCAAACTAACAACCAGCAGGGGTGATTGTTTCTCCATGTGAAATTACTTCATCAGTAATAAATTGTACATAATTAATAATTGAATTATTAATTACTCTCCCTTAATTTCGTGATCATATTCATACTCAAATCAAATGAAACATTTTTTCTTTCTCAAATATGTAAAAAGGTCGTGTAATAATGATTGTAATATAACTACTAGTACGTAGTACTCGATTGGATTTATGCACGTTGATCATTGTAGTACATGTAGTACAAATTTCGACTTCTTTCCCGTTTTACCCTCAAATTCAATAATACATAACCATTGTACTACATACTTTATCATTTGTATTCTTTTTCGTTTTATATAAAAAAGTGGAGTATTTTTTAAAGGGAATTTAATGCATCCTATGTCTTATCAAGACACTAGCTAAAAATATAAAAATGCTTTCAAATTTTAGGGATGTAATTTTTTAATGTATTTTGATTCGAAAGAATTTTGATTTAATGTTACAAAAATATAAAATTATATTTCCGTAAATATTATAGAGATGTATTTCTAAGAGATTTTGGTTTTAAAATGTGTATGAACTTTTCTCTTTTATCACTTCTAAAAAAACACTCTAAATATTTTTTCAAACTCTCTCATATCAGATTCTCTCAAAATTAATCAACAAGTTCAAAGTTTTTTCCATCAATATCAAGTACATCAAAGAGATCATTCAACACTCACTACTACAAAATACATTTTCGGTAACATAATACTACTACGGTTATACTTTCCACCATTGTCATATCGCAAATTGAATGCGTCAGATATATTTTTTTATTTTTTTGAAAGTTATTTAATCACTGTTGAGATAAACAATCGTGGTGAAAAATAAGTGTTACAGGCTTCGAGTTCTATAAACTACAATTTTTTCATTTTTCCTATTACAAAAAATGTGTGTCACTTTAGTTCATAAATAAATAATAAATTAAAAATTATTTAACCACGATTTTACTATTCGACCGTTGTAATAAGATCTACATTTCACTACAGTTGCATCACGATTTTTCTTGTCAACCGTGATGAAAAATGATATATTTTAGTATATAAGTAAGAACAACATTTGCTCTTTCTAAAAGAGAGAAACGATATAATGATGATTGAAATTTTTCTTCATTTCTCAAGACAGTCACAAGTCATTCAAGAATGTCAACAATTAGAAGTAATCATTGCAAGCATTAAATCATCAGATGTTTCATCTTCAACCTCTTCTATAAATGCACACTTTCATATAATGAATTTCCACATCAAATTATTCTTCTTAACTTTCTATAATAACATGAGTTTTCCATCTGAGAAGGATAAGAGAGTTATCTCAACAAAAGTCAATATTGAGAACAAAAACATCTCCACAATGCAACACCATCAGCAGTCAACTGAGCAGGTCCAGCCATCTGGGTCGACTGCTATCAGGGACACATTGAGGATGAGGAAGGTCAAGAAGAAGAAGAAGAGAAAGGTGTCGAGGAAAATTGTTTACTATGACTTAAATGAGGGTAGTGAGGAACGAGTCGAAGAGATTCTTGTAGTGCTAGAGGATATTGTTTCTATCTTGAAAAAATTATGTTTTATGTACTCTTTCCTTGTGGACCTTGTAACACCCTTCTAAACCCCGCAGAATATATATAAATAATCAGAGTAAATTATCATGCATCTCAAATAAGGGCGTCACATATAATTCAAAACATGACACATATACTTGTCATGCTCAATAACACTTAAAATAAATTCATACTTTTCATATACTTTCACATAGCATGTAGCAACATAATTACTTCAATCATAAATTAACATAATGAGAGCTCCTTGATCAACTCATTCATAATCATCACTTAGGCATAAAAATCGATATTCCACATAATTCAAATAATAATAACAAAATAAAATAGAGTACATAAAGTATCTCTCAAAACAAGAATCGAAACGTTTCTAGTGTTACATGATCAGAGCACGGCTCAACCCAAAATAAATAGAGAAACTAAAACAAGCTACTGCAACGGCTACCTCACGCTAGAAGCAACTCTACTCCTCAGTTCCTGATTGATGTCGTACAAAATATCATTCCAACAGAAGAGTGAGAATTCACATAATTATCGAAATCATAAGATAATATACAATTTATGGCATACAAACATAACATAATTATTTTTACACTCCAAAAGCTTTATCAATATATTATCACTCAAGTGACCATACTATTCACAAGTACATACTCACAATTTCATAATTCGTCAATTCATCAATTTCACATATTTCGCATAATCTCATATTACAAACATATACATGATGTGACCCAATGCAACACTTTAATGTAACTCATGCATGTGGTACCAATCACTTGATATTATTTGTTAGTTTTTACATTAAACCGGGTCCGTTCCCTAGACTAATAACACACAAAAAGTCCATTTCCTAAGCTTTGAAACCCCGCTCTAGGTTTGAGACAAGTCACTAGTTCTCACGGAACTAACAAGCATTGCCTCTTGACAACAAATGATGCATGTGCAAGTTCAACAACCATATGCAATTAAGACTATTCTCTAATCTTAATATTCATGCATATCTTTAGTAATTCATCACACTTGAATTACCACACAATTACATATACTTGCACATTTTTATGAATCATCCACACACAATTCACTTTTAAATGGTACACAACACATTTTACAATATAATCACAATTGTATTATCATTACAATAAGAAATAAATATCATTCATTTCATGTTGTCACAGACCAAAATATACTTATACAAGCACACACATAATTATTCAATAAATTATCCATAAATAATTTCACAACCGGCAGCAAACAACATAACAATTCATTAATATAACATATACACAATTGGCTCCCCAAACATATTAGATATAAAAATATTGGGCAATCAATTCTCTTATCTATATACTTTGATATATCTCTATTCATTAGTTTTCTGACGCTTCGAACGGGGACCAAAACAGACTTACAAATCAAAAGTTATGACCAAAACGATTTCGACCGAAAACATGAACAATCGTGACAGATAAAATACAGAATTTTCTGCATTTTTCACTGTTGGAGGCCTTCCGAACCTCCGATTTCGATTCCGTAAAAACTCAAACTCTCAGAAAATTACAAACCATCTAATACTGTTGTCGCTGTCACTACTCGAAAAATGCAGCATGCAACGACGGGGAGGCGAAAAAGATAGACAGAAGAGTCGTCACCGAACTTTATTTATCCCATGAAGGGAAAGGAAAATATCGAGAAAACCTTAGGAAAGAAATGGATAAGATGATCTCGTGACCAAAAACAGGTTCGGAAGCCGGTTATGCAAGGGGAAGGTATTAGCACCCCTCGCATCCATCGTACTCGATGGGAACCATTTGTTTGTCGATGTGTGATTATATTTTGCTAAAATATTATGCTATAAAAGAGTGTTCCTAGGGGTAAAGAGAAGGGTTTAGAAATAGGGAAAAGGAGATAACGGAGATGAAAGAGAAATAACAGACTCGGTATGACTTCGCAGTCCTAGGCCTACATATTCTCAACAAATATGAGAAAGTAAGAGTCCATGTAGTTCGGGGAACTACAGATATAGGGGGAATGTGCTCGACAAGGATTGTGGCCCTTGTGCATACGTATCTTTACTTAAAAGAAGTAAAGAATAAGAGCAGCCGTAGTTCGTCCTACGGTTTGTTGATGTTTTTGTGGATGATGTTATCATGCGCATTCTAGCAGTTTAGGTGTTTTGCTGCTCACATGTGAGGAGACTTATGCGTTACCTGCTTGCGGTAGAACGGACGTAACATATCCTTTTTGAAAGATTAGTTTTCGGCATGCGAGGCAAGATGTCACATTTGATTTGTGAGGTTGTTTTTAGGGGGGAGATAAGTCCTTGGATAGTAACCCCTTGCGGGTAGTGCCCAATTCATTATCTTAAAGTTTTTGTTATGAAAATGGTGTGGCGAACGTAGCGTCTTTGTATTGAAAGACGAGTATCGAGACCACATACACTATAGTGAGTATCCTAACACTCGGAGAGGAAGAAGTCTACACTTAATCCTCTCTCTTTAATTCAACACAAAGAGAACTTCATTCTCTTATTAAAGTATTTTTGATTTTGAATGGTAAGTGTTTTTGCGACAGAGAACCCTACGGTAAACGTCAGCACTCGGGATAGGAGAAGGCCTACGCCTAACCACTCCACGACCATTCAAGTTTTATTGTGAAAATGAGTTGAAAATGCATTCGGTACAAGACCGAGGTTTTAGGTGAGAAAGTTGCGGAGATAAGTTATGGAAAGGAGAGGTGGTGGATAAAGTTGCGTCTTCGTATTGGAAGACGAGTATCGAGACTACCCACACTACAGTGAGCATCCCAACACTCGGAGAGTAAGAAGTCTACACTTAATCCTCTCTTTTTAATTCAATACAAAGAGAAATTAATTTCTTATTAAAGAGTTTTGAAAATGCACTCGGTACAGGACCGGGGTTTTAGGAGAAAAGGGATTGAAAACGTACAAGCGTCTTCGTATTGAAAGACGAGTATCGAGACCACCCACACTACAGTGAGCATCCCAACACTCGGAGAGGAAGAAGTCTACACTTAATCCTCTCTTTTTAATTCAATACAAAGAGATGTTGATTTTCTTATTGAAAGGTGTTTTGAAAATGCATTCAGTACGGGACCGAGGTTTTTCGGAGGAGAAGGTATGGAAATGTACAAGTGTCTTCGTATTGAAAGACGAGTGTCGAGACCACCCACACTACAGTGAGTATCCCAACACTTGGAGAGGAAGAAGTCTACACTTAATCCTCTCTTTTTAATCCAATACAAAGAGAAATTAATTTTCTTATTGAATAGTTTTAAAATGGGATAAAAAGCCCAAAATCAAACGAGAAATAAAATGAAAATTAGCATCAAAATGATTAAAAAAAATAAATTAGCATATTAAAACATGAGAAAATGATATTTTTTTTTGGTATTTTATAATATTTAAAGCTAATTTTCAAATAAATAAAAT